TTTATATCATTCACCATTACATTTATTTTCACTATAAAACATTGTGCTAAGAGTAATTAAATAAGTACACTTTTCCAAACTACTTACATTATTTAAATTACTTAGTAGTTATATTCCACCCATCAATTTCCTAATTGAAACCCCTAAATTTGGCAATAAAACCCTTTCCGATTCTAATTCTTATGTCGCCATCTCATATTCAGTCAAGTTCTATAAATCTTGCCCTCAGGGTCTGGTATTTTACATCCCACTCTCAAGCTACGTTCCACTCAGCTACACTTCAGGTCTAGAGCCAGGACTCTCCTCTTCGTGTTTTTGGGTTTGTATGTTGTCTCATATCCTTCAGTTTGTAGTATCCACCCTGGTCACCAACCTAATCAAATGATTATTCATTACCATCCTCTGGTATAACTTCAATACATTTGAGGACTAATTTAGCCATTTAAAACAGCCTGTGATGTCAAGACACATCTAAAACCTGCAGGACACCGCTTCTCACTCTGATTCCCTTACCCCTGTTTTAAAAGATTCAGATCAACATAATGAACCCTCACTTTACAATATCACATTTACTGTATATATAGAAACACTGCAGATCTCAGCCCATCCTACCTTTCTTCACAGAAAATATTTCCTAACAATAATAATTACTAATTTAAGTAAAATAACTTTTCGATTAAATGATATGACATGCTCACAATTTCCTACAGTTCTTTTTTAACACTAGATTCAATAAACCTTCATTTTTATGGTGTAAAATTAACTATATATTCCTGATGTTTCACATTTAACATTTTTTCATCTTTCAACTTCTGCAAGTATCACGGATAAAAAAAAATCTTTTCATATTTTTTCAATTTGAAGGTTTCTAAATACAACTTCCATGTATATTTCATTTGTCTTTTGTATTTCATGTTCTTCATACAAAAAACAGAATATTATACTATATTCAACTTCTATGGATTTCTCATTCTTATCTGCCATAGCTCACCTAAGTATCACCTGTAGTAATATACTTATTGTTATTATAAATAATCTATATTCATTAAATTTTATAATGTTCAGATGCCAAATCACTATCAACAGTTGCCTCAAGTTTTTGTATTAGAATGTAAAGTACCTGTAAACAATAATACAACCCAGCCAACCCCTGTGAGAAATCACTTGTCAACGTTGGTAAGAAAAACTACTTTTAACAGGAAAAATCCTGTACAGAATCAAACTCAGTCTAGCTATTTCTGTTACTGGTTTGTAGGTAAGGTGTAGACAACAAAGACGCACAGTTATTAATTCTCCCTCGGTCATATAATCCCCGCCACCCCTCCTTCTCCTCCCTTGCAGCAACAGCAGGTCGAACCTCCTAAATGAGGGTCTCCCTTACTCCAGCAAATCGCAGAAAACCATCGTGCCTATCCATTCCCAATAGCGCTGGCATGACATCGGCAGGATGAGTACAGCAATTTTTTACCAATCATATACATTGCAACATGCAACTTATTCAAAATCCCCCAATCCATTTTCCTCTCCCTTAAATACTCTAAAGACACACCTTCTTAATACAGACTGGCCTATAAAAGAGCTGCAATTGAGGCAGGCTTCCTCTTTACTGGGAAAACAAGATGGCCACCACAAAGGTAACCTGCAACACTTTGTTACTCAAATGCTTCCCAACATTACTCACTACCCCCCCCCCCCCCCCCCCCCCCCCCCGCCCCCCCTTCTGGTCGACACATCTCCGGCAAACGGGAAAGATAGTCAGCAATAAGATTGTTCTTACCCGGACAATGCTGGACGGTGAACTGGTATGGCTGGAGGGCTAGGCACCAGCGCAGTATCCTCGCATTCTGATGTTGCTTGGAGTGCATCCACACCAGGGATCGGTGATCCGTCTGAAGAATAAATTCTCTTCCAAGGAGATAATATTTCAACGAATCAATTGCCCACTTAATTGCCAGTCCTTCTTTCTCTACTGTAGAATAGTTTTTTTCCCTGTCAAATAGCTTCTTACTTAAGAAAAGCACAGGTTTTTCTTCACCAGCTTCTCCTTGAGCCAGCACTGCTCCAAGTCCAACATTAGAGGCATCTACCTGTACAACAAATGGTTTGGAAAAATCCGGGCTTTGCAAAACAGGGGCTTCAGAAATCTGTCTCTTTAAACATTGGAAGGCATGTTCACAGTCGTCATTCCACATCACTTTAGAAGCATGTTTTCTCGTGAGATCTGTAAGAGGGGCTGCCAAGGTTGAGAAATGGGGAATAAACCTCCGATACCAGCCAACCAAGCCCAGAAACGACCTCACTTGCTTTTTGGTTTTAGGTCTGGGAATTGTTTGTATAGCCTTTACCTTTTCAACTTGTGGCTTTATTTGTCCATGGCCAACAATGTATCCTAGATACCTCACCTCTTCTTGTGCCCAGGCACACTTGCTCACATTCAGAGTCAAACCAGCCTCCTGGATCTTTGCCAACACAACCTTTAGATGCTGCAGGTGTTCCTCCCAAGACTCACTGTAAATCACCACATCATCCAGGTAGGCAGCTGCAAACTTTGAACAACCATTAAGGATAATGTCCATCAACCTTTGAAAAGTTGCAGGTGCCCCATGAAGACCAAAGGGCAACACGGTGTACTGAAATAAGCCCATTCCTGGAATTTGGAAGGCTGTGTATTCTTTACAGGACGTTGCAGGTTACCTTTGTGGTGGCCATCTTGTTTTCCCAGTAAAGAGGAAGCCTGCCTCAATTGCAGCTCTTTTATAGGCCAGTGTGCATTAAGAAGGTGTGTCTTTAGAGTATTTAAAGGGAGCAGGAAATGGATTGGGGGCCATTTTGAAAAGTTGCTGTCTGCATGTGTATCACTGCACCCCTCACTGCGTAACAAAATTGCTGTACTCATCCTGCCCGATGTCATGCCAGCGCATATTGGGAATGGCATAGGCACCGATCGGTTTTCTGCCGCCCATTTGCTGGGAGTAAGGGCGCCCTCCATTTGCGAGGTTCGCCTGCTGCTTGCTGCACAGGGAGGAGAGGACGGGGTGGCGGGGGATTCTCTGACTGGCTGGAGCAGCATCTAATAACTGTGCGTCTTTGTCCTGTCTCCCTCCCCTCACACCCAACCAGTCACACGAAATAGCTGCCACTGAGTGTGATTCTGTCAGGTATTTCTTCCTGTTAAAAGGTAGTTTTTCCTTCCCACTGTTGCCAAGTGCTTGCTCACAGGGGGTTGGGCTGGGTTGTATTATTGTTCAGTCTTTACTTTACAACATAAAGCACCTTGAGGCAACTGTTGTAGTGATTTGGCTCTGCATTAATAAAATTTAAATGAATATAGATTATTTATAAATCAATAAGTTATTACTACAGGTGAATACTACTAGGCTGAGCTATGGCAGAATAATGAATGAGAAATCCATAGAAGTTGAATAATAGTATAATAATTCTGTTTTCTTTTTATGGCTAAAACAGACTTTTCTGAATCATTTCACATGGAAAGTGTTTTAGCCCTTCAAATTGAAAAAAGTATGAAAAGATTTTTTTTTATCGTGAAATACTTGCAGAAAGTCTGAAATATGAAAAAATGTTAAACTGTGAAACATCAGGAATATAAATAGTTTCATTCTTCACACCATAAAAATGAAGGTTTATTGACATCTAGTGGTTCAAAACAAGAACTGTAGTGAACATGTGTGAGCACTGTCAATCAATTTAATCGAAAAAGTATTTTCTTAAATTAGTAATTATTATTGTTAGAAATCATTTTCTGTGACACGAAGCAGGTAGGATGGGCTGAGACTCTGCACGTGTTTCATATATCACAGTAAAGCCTGTGATATTGTAAAGTGAGGGTTCATTATGTTGATCTGAATCTCTCTGAACCAGGGGTAGGGAACTCCAGGCCTCGAGAGCCGGTGTCCTGCAGGTTTTAGATGTGTCCTTGATCCATCACAGCTGTTTTAAATGGCTAAATTAGCTCCTCAACATGTCTTGAAGTTCTCCAGAGGCCTGGTAATGAACTAATCATTTGATTCAGGTGTGGTGACCCAGGGTGAGATCTAAAACCTGCAGGATACTGCAGCAACATCCCCCAAAAACACGAAGAGGAGAGTCCTGGCCCCTAGCCCTGCCAGTGTAGCTGAGTGGAACGTAGCCTTAGAGTAGGGATGTCAAACTCCAGACCCTGAGGGCAAGACTTTATAGAACTTGACTGAATACT